ATATATATATATATATATATTTATATATATATATATATAATGAATGAAAAACTTGCAACGCTATTTTTTTAGCTTAGAAACACACTTAAAGTGTTAGTTAACACCTCTTTCTTCTTCCACTGTTGAATATATAAAATCTAGCATCATAATATTTGGATGCCAAATTATAGGAAAATATTATTCATCAGTTAAGTGGAACATTCGTTATTTATATGTGACGCACAGATATAGTGAAAATGGTTAATTAGCAATTCATTCAGGGGAGGGAAGTGTATGTCATTATAATTACCAGGGAAACAAAAATTTAGGACCTACTCAGAATGGGAGTATTTGCAGAGTCCATAAATGTACACAAGTATGTGTGCCCCTTTTTTATTATTTCTCTTTAGGGAAAAATAAAATTTGTTGTAGAATTAAAATTGGGGCAAATAAAAGATTCGAATAATTATAACCATAGTCATAGATCATTTATATAAAAAGTTAGGACTTGTATTAAAAAGCATACAGGTTGAATTAGAACTTTTAGGCATTTTAAGCGATAGCAGTTATCACATCCCCTTAACGATTATACTAATAAATAAAAGGGAAAATGTTTGGAGTGCCATGTACAAATATAGAGTATTTTATCCACTAGTATTTGGAAAACTTCATACATTATTCTTATTATATATTTCTAGCAGACTTGTTTGCACGAAGGGAGGGGGTGGAACTATTTTAATCATAGTTTATTTTTTTTCTAAACTATTGTAACACAGAAAAATGTAGTTAACCGTGCGGGAGGTAAGCCACAATTAAAAAAAAAATTAAGGTTAATTATATATTGGAAGGTGTTAATTTCCCTTTTAGAGCATATTTTTCTATGTATTAACTGAATATGTTAATGTGTAGTGCGCTTAGCGCAGGATACAAACAAACAACAGCACAAACGTGCTTTTGTGAGTAATGTGCGGAGGGATATTTAGGTGTTGAATACATCTCAACCTGAGAACGCTACTAATGAATTCCTGCCTTAACTTAATTAGACATATACATTTAATTTCTATGAGTGTGTTCATATTTTTTAGAGTTGTTTCCTTTTCCCCTTTCCTTTTATGAAGATTTGTGCAAATTAGTACTAACATTTATTTCAGCTGATTCATGAACATTCGATAGATATATATGTGCATACTAATACATATATAGTTCATGATTTTAAATTTTTGATGTTCGAAAAATGTACTGTTTGCTTTATTTACAGGAACTTATTTGAATTGCTAACTTTTACATGTGCTAATTTAAGTGTAATGATTTATGACATAAATTTGTTAACAGGGAACATCGTTGTTTTCAGTGTTATTGTATTTTTCTGTATAGACACTGATCCATAATCGGACTCGTGGGGAGGGGGACGCATATGGGTAATTCCGCAAGTTGCAACGTATGTATATATATATGTGTGTGCTCTTTAAAAACTAGAAAGACAGGTATTTTACAATCTGATCTTGTAGAAAAATGATAACTGTAGAATTATAACATATTGGTAATTGGTTTCTCTACATTTAATAATTTAGTCAGCTTTCCTACATTTGTACGTGTCTTGTTGGTATGGGCTATGCGTGTGTAGATCCTTCATACGCTCCCTGGTTTTATTTGCTACTTAATAATCGCAAAGGATTTTATTTCCAACAGATAAATATAAAATTGTCACATACATGTGATCTAGGACTCATGTGAAAATCAATATGTATATAATCATATATGAACAGTGGCGTTGCATATGGCATGTATATTTCGTTGCCCTGCCTCTGGAACATATGGATGTGAGCTATCTAGGATGTAACTAATTCTATAACATGTCTACAAGGTAAATACAAAGAGTAAGCCTACCATACATCATGTTTCTGTGGATTGGTTAATTTATTTTAGAATCCACGAATTTTCATGTTATTAACGAATTATGCTACTTTGTCAGAATCACCCTTTATAGACAGAAATGTATTAAAAACATTATAATTAAAGTTAGAATATAATATCTACGCAATAGGAAAAAACTAGAGTGGCGAGTAGGATTATTTTATTTCTAAATCTATCCATTTCTGAGGAAACCTCGAGTTGATACGAGAAATAGAATAATGAGTTATGTTACAGAAGAATGAAAAGAATAACATTGAAAAAAGGCTAATACCTGAACAAGTCAATTTAAAAACAAATCAATTGTTCACTCCACAGATGTGATTTATTATCTCGTTACATTGCGCATTATGTACATATATTTTTTTAAAAGCAAAAGGTTGGACACAAATTAACGATTAACATATTTGTTATTAGGAGGGTTTCTGTATCAGCATGATTAAACTGATTATATATAAGGCAGAAGAGAGCGCAAAGGTGGTATACATATATACTTGTCACGTCATCGGGTAGTGCTTCCACTATGCACATGTTTACGTTATGGTACGGACAGACATACGTTTTTCTGTTATGTGGTGTACACTACGGAAAAAATCAAATATGCTCGTTGTGCTCCTACAACCCGCGTAAGAAGTGTCTTGCCCGTTGCTCCGGCTGTAATACGCACTCCAATTATAGGCATTTACAAATCTGGACGCCGCGGCTTCCTACTCCAACCAATGAAGTACTTCCTGCGGCTGCTTCACCGCTGGCCCTAAAATACATTGTTTACGCTGCTCTTTTTTTTTCGTTCATCAATAACCTTTCGACTTAGCCGACTGGGGCATGCATAGGGGGTGCGTGTCAGCATTTCCGTACTGATTCGCATGATTGTGATTCCTTCGTCTTTTACTGAATACTGGGGGTGCAGCAAATCCATAAAGGAAAGTGTGCCCACTTTTATATGGGCAAATGGCCCCAGGCACCTAGTGTAGTGACAGAGCTAAAGTGTACGTATAAAAAAATTCTTGCATCCCCTTTTCCAGTAAAGCGGTTTGGATTTAACGCCTTGGAACGGACAACCTTCAGGGAACCCCTCCTCCTGTTCCTATGCTTCTGCGACTATCGGTTTTATGCCCCTGCGCGTAGCACTCGTGTGAAAGGCTGGATGGCGATGTTTGTGCAGAGCAAACAAGGTTCCCCTTGCCGCAGGAAGGGGGGGGATGTACAGCGGGGTAGTAAAGTAGTAGTGCCAACGCGACGAGCTACGAAGGTGCAATCAACACCTGCAGCGGCCAAGCCTCGCCCGTGCTTGCGAAAAAATTAAAACGTTAACTTCTTTGGGGTGCCGCCCCTTCTTCAAGCTCCAAAAT